AACTTCATGTGACACGAATTTCGAATTTATTTTCACATATAGAAAAGCAGCCTCAGGGAAATGTCACACGACTATTAGTATATTTCTTCGTATATGAAATTCGACTGCGCCTTAAATAAGCTATATAGTCTAATTTTAGAAAATATCTGCAACTAATTACCAGATTTGGTTAGAACCTTGTTTTCTTTTTTTAGCTTTTCGTACAGCCATTTTTACTTGTTAAAATCTTTCACATGTCTATTAGAACATACATTCTGTGATTATTATCGAATCTTTTCATTTTACCTCTTTTTATTAGGATACCTTGTCTTTGTAATTATACAAAGCAGTGTCAGAGACTTCTGATTGGAGCGTGAAATAATTGACTATTATATCGGCGAACGTGTTAGCCAACCAGATTTATTTTTTAATAATTTCTCAAATTTACATATGTGAAATTCAAATTAGCCAATCAGAATTTCACCCCACTCCATAATATTTCAATTTCAACATACAACAAAGAACACTTTAACAGGTTAGTGAATAGGTTATTAACATGCCATGCATAGAAATGATTGATAAACATTATCCAATGGGGGAATGAATTTGTAGCACCAAATCCTATCTATACTAATATGCATAACAATAAATAATGTTAATATAACCAAATATGGAAGAAAGGCCAAAAAATTTAATTTATTGATGATCTTTTTAATTAGTGCTAGAGGAAACACCAATAACCGAATGCTTATCAAATTGCAATTAATATTTTTTTTCTTTTCGACAGATATATTTTTTGCATTTTTAAAATGATTTTCTGATTGGGGTAATGTTTGTTACTAAAATAACATTAGATTTGAAGATTTGACGAAAGACGATTATTAAATAATTTGCCATATAATAAATTTAGATTAACCAACCTTTTTTATCTCAAAATTAATATATCTGATGTGTACTTCCTATTTATATTTAAAATCTAGATTTATTTTCTCGTTATAATCTAAAAGTGTAAAACAATCAGACAGCTTTTAAAATTAATTAAATAAAAGCATCTTTTTTTCCTTTCCATTTTTAGCCACCTTCAGAATTTCATTTATGTTTTTCTATGTGCATTAAGGAAATTATCAGTCTAAAACAATTAATCGTTAAATTAATTGTTTTCTCTTAATTAGGATGATTTGTCTCACACAATCATTGATACATTGTACCGCAAAGTTTTATTACTAAAACCCTGTTTTCTAAAAAATACATTTATACTACAATGAATGTTTCACGATTTCAATTAATTGGTTATTGTTTTAGTCAATTATAGGAATATCAATCTTCTTATCTCTATATAAAAGCCTTTTTTTTTCCACATCCCAATTCACTCTTTTTTCATTTAAAATATTCTAGTAGAAATCTTACTGATACTGTAACGTACTTTGATATAAAAACTTTCATTAAAATTACCTCATCAAAAATTATAAATAATTCCATTTCATATAACAAATTTTTTATTATTTAAAGTATGTCTACACTATCTACACATTCATTTTCAAACAAAACCTCCTCAAAATCATCATCATCATCGTCATTTTTCTTCACAACCATAAAAATACTCGTTGCCGTTCTATTCTTCCTCACCATCAATGTAGCTGCTGACGGTCGTATGATATTGCCAGAAATCCGAAATATCCGGAATGCGAGCTTACCAGCAAAACATTACCCTTGTGGAACCGATGATGAACCTGGGAAAGTTTTAACGACATATACTACTAATGAAACCATAAAGGTTCAATGGGGCATTGAGAATCCTTTGGATGGTACTTGTTTTATCGATTTGTCAACAAACGGAAAAGACAGTGCCTTTCAAAACATTCACATAATGCCAAATTGTGCGGACCAAGTTGCCAACTTTCAAGTCGATGTGCAACTTCCTGAATATACATCTTGCGAACATTGCACACTTCGTTTTAGGTGGATTCCACATTTATCAAGGGAGATTTATTTAAATTGCGCCGACATTTCTATCTTACCACCTAACAAAAAAAATGCACCCAAGATGAGAAGGAGAAAAAGATGTCATGGGTGTAAATAGATAGTATATCATTATATACACATTATACATACATATACATTCACACAATTTAGATATACACTTAAACTAGATTGATATCATTTTTTACATAATTGCATTTTTCATATTTTGGCATATTTTACATGTTTATATATATTCTTCTTTGACTCCACTGCACTTGTTTATATTTCATTTTTGTGCCTATGTATGCTCTTTAATATGAACGATGTGTAAATTGAGTCAATTTTAAAAATTTTAAATAAATTTAGAACAAATTGTTCATTGTAAAATAAATTTGTGGATACTGTCCAAATTATTAAATAAATCAATTTTAAACTGCTCATATAATTGAACCAAACCCTCAGTTCTATATGTAATACTTTCTTTTTTTCTATTGTAATGCAAGAGTTCTCTGTGATGAACAATAAATTAGTTCATCATAAAAATATTATTAAAAAAATGAATTGGGGAAACAAAAAAGTTCGTTAGTTATAACAAGATTTACTGTAAAATTATTCAACTAACGAGCTTTGACTTGTATATAATAAAGCTGAAGTTTTAATTTCTAAAACTTTGTTGTAACTATAGTACATGAAGCCGAAATTAAAACCCAAAAGTCGAACTGGTCAAAATTACATCATGCAACAGACTGAATGTACAGGAAAATTAATCAAAAGCTTCAAATTGTCATGGCTCAGTCAATATCCGGTTGTTTTGGATAAAACAATTACTATTCGAATTTTTTCGATGAGATGAATCTAATGATATGTAATTCATATCAAACACAGATCATTGAGATATTTTGGTTTACCTTATATCTTACGATAACTCACATTTATTGATGTTATGAACATTAAATTGCCATCATTCTAATGAATCGTGTTTCATTAAATTTGTATCACTGGTTCTCAAGATAAAAAATAAATCATGTGATTAGTTTTACTAAACAATAAGAAGCTATTATTAAGCTGGTAAAAAATTTGTTTTAAATTAATTAAAATTATTTATTTATTTCAGAAAGAGTGATTTTTACTATACGTTGTATACTTTGGCTATGGGATTGGCACCGGTATGACATAATTTCGACTTTTTCGATCATTTCGACCTCATGTAATTATTAGTGATATTAGCTGGTAGAAAACCCTTAGCCGGCTAAGAACTTAAATAAATCCCAGTTGATGAAAAGACTTTCAGATTGTGGTATTATTATTACAATTAAGGAATCGAATAAATATAAATATGAATAAATATGCAAAAATGTATATATAAAATTGTAAGTGTGAATGTATGCGTATGTATTACAGGCCAGCTGGCAGTACTATCTATTTACACATATTAATATGATTTCTTTTTCTTTTTTTCATCTTAAGTTCATTTTTGTTGGTCGGTAAGATAGAAATATCGGCAAGTAGTATTTTTAGGAAATTGTACATCGGCTTGAAAATTTTCACCGATTTTATCTGCACAATTAGGAATGGTTCTAATGGTTTTAAAGGCACCATCTTTTCTAGTTGTTGACAAATCGACAAAACAAGTACCTCCCAAAGGTTCTGTAATTTCCCATTGAACGTTTACGACTTGATTAGTAGTATATGTTGTTAAAACTTTTCCAGGACCTAACTTGTTTCCACAAGGATAATGTTTTGCTGATGAGCGTGCATTCCGGAAGTTATTTTTAACATCATTCTTTGTAAGTCAGATTTCTGGTAATATCATACGACCATTGGCAGCTACATTGATAGTAAGGAATAATAGGATGACAAGAAATATTTTCATGGTAAAGGAGAATGATGATGATGATATGGATAATGTTGAGTATTTAGGGAAGGATTTGTTTAGAAATGAATGTGTAGATACTTTTAAAAATAAAACTTGATTTATGTGGAATGGAAATTTAGTTATAATTTTTGATGAAGTAATTATAACAAAGTTGCAAAATCCCTCCTGAGAGTATATTGCAGTATCAGTAAAATTTTCTTACTAGAATGATATTTTAAGTAAAAAGAATGGAAATGGAATGTAGAAAAAAAAAAAGATAAGAACATTGATAATTGATTAAAAAGGATCGTGAAACTTTCTTCATAAATACAAAGAAATAGCGATGAATTTTATTTTGTTCGCTATTTCCGTTTTTATCATAAATGAAAGAATTTTTACACAGTGATCAATGAATGAAAATTGACACAAAAACGACAAAGAGAAGATATGAGATTGAGAGTTGATATAAGGGCTAACCCCCAATATACGAATTTATCAGCAAGTTTAGTAATAGTGATAATAATAAATAAGATTATGGTTTGGGAAATGATGTAACTAAACTATTTATATTTACTTTTATATAAGTCAATCAAGCGACGCAGTGTTTCGGCTTTAGTTTTTAATCAATCTCTCTTATTTGAAAGTTTTATCACTAAAAATGCTCAACAAGGTGAGTTGTTCATGGTCATATTTCAATTGACAATATAATGTCCTTTGGTGAAGTTATTTTACCATTTTCATCCAACTTACTTTCCGCTTCCTCAATTACACCACCATTTTGAACACATCTGACATCAAATTAACTTTAGATACAGGCTTAGCTTGTACTCGTAAACAATTATCACAATTTCCTTGCAGAGGACTTAGGGTATGTATTCTGCCAGCATATATTTCCAATAGTGTTTGGTTACCAAAACTATTTTGAAGAGGCAAAAGTCAAAACTAAATCAAAAGTCAAAAGTCAAAACTAGTTTCGACTTATGGCGAAACCTTTTGACTTTCGCACAGCCGTGAAACTCCATAGTTTTGGAAACCAACATTAATTTCCAATAAGCGTATTGCTCCTCACAAAAATAAATAACTTCAATAATTTTTTTCTTAATTTAGCCAAATAGGCTTGTATTTTATCTATTTCAGAGCATTCATCCGTTTTCTCAGTTACTCTACGAAAATTGTTTGTATTATTATTAACTTTAATTCTACATTTACAAAATCAAAATACTTACGATTCTCTTATACTTTTTTCTCCCAAAAAAAGAAAAAACCACAGATTGTGATTTCTTCCTTCTCTCCTTGTTTCTTACACAAGGTTGGCAATCATAAAAAGATAAGATATACTGTGTCATTTTTAAAGCAATAATTTACCTATACCCGACGGAAATCCTAAAATGAAATAAATAAAAATGCGAAATCTTACAAAATATAGAACTTATACTGTATATTTATTTGCTTACATTAAACACCTTCGCTTTTTTTACTATTATTTTCCATTATTAGTAAATCATGTGCGTAGACATGTAGTATAGATATTAAAATTAGACGTGTGTGACTTTAAGCAAGTTAAAATAAATACTATTGCATTTAGCACAGATATTTATGCGTTTATGGAAGTTATGTGGTTTAAAATAAACTTTCATAATTTTAACAGTCATCCGCAAGTTTAACTTAGGCATTCGTTAACCTAATTAGACATTCGCTAAGTATTTGAACTTGTTAATAACATAAGCCATTTTATTTTTAATTATAATTAAAATTAAGTATAACATGCAAATGAGAACCTGTTACTAAATACATATTTCTTAGGCATTCCCTAAAATTTTCAAAGTTAATTTACAGGTTTGGTTAGACGCTTCATTATTATTTTTATTTTTATGGCATTAAGATCTTTTTTAAAAAAAAAGAATAACATACAAAGAATCTTTAGTCAAAATCCATTCAGCTCGTTCAATTCAGCATTAAATTGGCTTGTCATTCAAATTATATTTGTTAAGACTCTTAATCGTTAAATGTTCCACATTTAATTTAATTTCCTTTTTTATGATAAATACATTTTTGTGACTATAGATTTTGAATCTTTTCATTGCCTTTCTTTTTATTAAGATACCTTGTTTTTCATATAATTTATACACAGCAGTCGACTTTTAATTTGCTGATATTGTGATTTTTTAAGAAACCATATCGGTGAATTCTGGCATCCCCAAATTTATTATTATTATCAGCACGTTGATTAACCAAATTTCTTTAAAAATATATTGTATTAATATGTAAGCATAATGTTTTTTGAATCATTCCAAAGAATACTTTAATGGGTTACTATAATAAACAATAGCAGCATTATTATTGGTGAAATCATAATTACAGCAGATTATTAACATGTATAGAAATAATTAACAAATATGTCCAATGGGAATGGTCCATTAATCGTAATGGTCGTACGTAATATAGCCAAATATGGAAGAAAGGCCAGAAATAAATAATTATTCATTTGCCAAGATTAATAATGATTTTTTCTCGGCAGAAATATTTTTTGTCATTGTAAAAGACCCGAAAATGATTTCCTAGTTAGGGCAATGTTACATAAAAAATGATAAATCATTATTATTATCAAATAACTCGAGGGATTCGTTTTTCGCGACTACAAAAATTTTATAAAACACAAAAACCATTGACTTAGTTTGTGGCATAATGCTTAAAATTAAGTTAACCAATCTTTTATCTCAAATTTAATTAAATTTAACATCTGATTATGCACTTACTTCCTGTTCATCACTTTTAATAAATCCAAAATTTAAAATCTAGAATTCGTTTCTCGTTTATAATTAAAAGTATAAAACAACAACACGACTTTTAAATTAATTAAATAAAAGTTTCTTTTCTTTGACCTATATTCGAACTTTTATTTACATTTTCTGTTTGCATCAAGGAATTTTATTAGTCTAAACAATTAGTCGTTAAATTAATTGTTTTGCTTCTTAATTAGGATTATTTGTCCCATAAACAAAACTACATTTATTGATGATGTACGTGTAACGAATATCTTCATTTAAACTCTGTTTATAAAATATAGGCATCGTGTTCTTATTCAGTATGCATTGATTGATACATTGCACTGCAAAAGTTTAATTACTTACACTAAACCTGTTTGCTAAAAATTACTTACTGATTATTTTCTTTGTTTGCCATAAAAAATGTTTCTGATTGGTAATTGTTTTAATCAATTCTAAGAATTGTATCTTTATATAAAGTCTAACGATATCCTTTTTTTTCCCACGTCCCAATTACACTCTTTTCACTTATCAAGTAAGAATTTTACCAATACTGTAACATACTTTGATATAAAGACTTTCATTAAAATTACCTCCTCATCAAAAATTACAAATAATTGCATTTTATATAAACAAATTTTTTATTATTTAAAGTATGTCTGTATTATCTACACATTCATTTTTAAACAAATCCTTCCCTAAATCCTCAAAATCATCATCATCATCATTTTTTTTTACCACCATGATAATACTCGTTGCCGTCTTATTCTTCCTTACCATCAATGTAGCTGCTGATGGTCGTATGATATTGCCAGAAATCCGAAATAACTTCCGGAATGCAAGCTTACCGGCAAAACATTACCCTTGTGGAAACGATAATGGTCCTGGAAAAGTTTTAACAACATATACTACCAATCAAACCATAAAGGTTCAATGGGGCATTGAGAATCCTTTGGATGGTTCTTGTTTTGTCGATTTGTCAACAACCGGAAAAGATAATGCCTTTAAAAACATTCATTTTATGCCTAATTGTGCGGACCAAGTTGCTAAGTTTCAAGTCGACGTACAACTTCCTGAACATATATCGTGCGAACATTGCACACTTCGTTTTAGATGGGTTCCACATTTATCAAAAGAAGTTTATTTAAATTGCGCCGACATTTCTATCTTACCACCCAACAAAAAAGTGCACCCAAGATGAGAAAAAGAAAAAGATGCCATGGGTGTAAATAGATAGTACTGCCAATAGAAGCAATCAACTGGCTTGTAATTATATCATTATACAACTTATATATATACATATACATTCACACATGCAATTTTATATACACACAAGATTGATTTCATTTCATGTATTTTTCATCTTATTCATATTTTACATCTTATTCATATTTTAGAATATTTTAGCATATTATAGCATATTTTTATATTTTTTATCCGCAATTGTTTATATTTTCTTTTTTTTATTCTTGTGGTTATACATGTTCTTTAATATATACGGTGTGTAATTTTTGATAACCAATAAATTTAGAACAAATTGATCTATGACCAAAATAAATTTCCAAATTATTAATAAAATGAGTAAAGTCGATGTTTAAAGCGAACCCCTTGGTTCTATATGTAATATTTGTATTTTTTTGCCATTCCTCCATCCCAATTTCTGTTTTCTTTAAAACATTCAAATTACGAGCTTTGACTGTATATAATTGAAGTTTAAATTTTGATTTTAAACCCCGCCTGTCTCAATTTAATATGTGTGGATCTCATTTAAACTATCAAGAATTCTTATAATTCATTGCTGCTTTTGTCAAAAAAATTCTAAAGCAATAGTAATCAAGTCAAAAATTATATTAATGTTGATATTTAATATTTACTATATTTATTATATACGACTTTTATGTAAATATCACTGGAAAATTAGTTTATTTTAAGAAAGTATTTCTTTTTTGTTCATTTTACATCAGGAAAATAAATCTTACATAAACCTACGCAGGGTTCAGAATTGGCCAGCATTATGTCGATATTTTGGTAATTCTGTTAACATTTCCGCATAATGCTGGTCAGTTTAAACTCTGCGTAGGTTTACATGAGATTTATTTTCCTGATGAAAGTTTTGAATAATAAAGAATCTATTCATAAGTAGTAAGACTAGTAGGCAAATAAATAATATTGTCATCATACCATATTTATTGTATAATATTATTTGATATTTAATAATAAACTTACACCATAATAAATAAAATATTCACAAGTTTATATACTACAAAACTTAATCATTTTAGAATGAAATAGAGATGCTCAATTACATGAAAAGGAATATTGCAGCAGACAAATGCCTTGATTAAAGATCTGTTGATTGAATTTTCACATTCATTTGTTAAAGCTATACTTTCATAAATGAAGGAATATTAGTTTGTCAACTAACATTAGGAATTTTTTTGTAAATTTGCTTTTGTTTTACTTAATTCTTCAAGACATTTTTTTCTGGTTTGAGAACCACAATTCATACAATAGTTTGCTAAATTGTTAATAATTTTTGTGATTCTCCACGACTATATGATTTAGTACAATACTTACATTTTGCACTATAATGGTCTTTAGAATTCTTTTACTTGTATTTTTGAGAAATGTTGCCAAACTTTAGATTGAGGTCGTCCTGTTTGAGTTGATCTCATCTGTTGTGACAATGAATATGGTGTTTCTTGATCATAATGACAAAGACTCCTTGTAAGTGAACATACAATTAAAAAAGTATTTTTGGTACCCACATAGATCATTGATAACGGTTTGGCGAAATAATTTCCCCATGCCTGCAAAGTATTTGGTTGACTATTCTTGGTCACGATTTACAAAACTTTTAAATGTAAAGAAATATTTTTATTATCGAGAGCGATTTACTTATGATCCTTCATAATATTTTCCTGTTGCATTTCTCCTTCTGTAGTACTGCTAATCCGTTGTTTATTGTAAATTCGAAAATCTCAGTTCGTCTATGGTGCATAATTTCATCAAAAGGAGGCATTCATATCAAGAAAAGTAAAATAATATAATAGATAAAGGCGGTTCGGTTTAGGATTCTCTGCAAAAAATAAAAATAGTAAAAAAGCAAAATTGCTATAGCTATTAGCTTAATTCAACTTAATTTTATTTAAAAAAGAATAGATGATTTATCACCTGACTTTAATAATTTGGGGAAACAAACCCACATGTAGCGATATAAATAATGCATAATAATAATAATATATATTGCAAATCATTAACATAAAATATAGTATTGTTTTCCAAAACAGTATATTAATATTGCAAAATTAGTTTAACTTTCGCCTCTTCAAAATGGTTTTGGCGACCGACACTAAATAAGTAAAACAAATCAGACCTCATTTGAACAAAAAAAAAATAAATCAACTTTATTTGAATATTTCTTTTTTTATTTCTTTGGAAATTTTAGATCTCACTTATTGGGTTTCGAGGAGTAGAAAATGTGTACCATACTGAAGCCATGTGAGTACCGTGCTGGAGAAAAATTAAATAAAATAAAAAACCAATCAGCAAGTGCGCACTGAAAAAGTTAGTACGGTACTCACTTGTCTTCAATATGGTACGCATTTTCTATATATCCTTGGGTTTCTGTGGTTAAAAACTAGAATTTATCGTAAATTTTCACGACTAAAATTAGTATTTATATATTCAATGGGTCAAATTCAACCAATATATTAAAATTCTTGTCAATACTTTTCCAATAATTTTTTTTAGTCGCACAGGAGAAGTATAAGAGCCAATTTTTTATGTTTTGACATAGTGGTAAATAAAATATTTGGAAATAACGCTTAGATTTAACGAATCAAGCAAGTTACTTGGTAACAATCAATATAAAACTTAGGTAGGTCATTGATTGATAACTTTACTCTCCCGGGAGGATATCTTATATACCTTATATAGTTATAAATATAATGGTAGAAAATATTTAATTCACAAATGCGAAGATTTTTCAATAATTGGGAAAATTATTGTAAAAACAGTTGTCATTATCAATGATTTCACAAATGCGAAGCCTTTACCAAATATATAATCATTGTGACGATATTGTAAAAATGTCATTCATCAGGAAAATAAATCTTACATAAACCTACGTAGGGTTCAGAATTGGCCAGCATTATGTCGATATTTTGGTAATTCTGTTAACATTTCCGCATAATGCTGGTCAGTTTTAAACCCTGCGTAGGTTTACATGAGATTTATTTTCCTGATGATATTAAAACAATCAATATATATATACCTAAAATTTATTATTGATGATCAGCAAATATGACAAGTATCTAATTTGATTGGATAAATCAATTTCGTCAAAAGATCCTTGGCGACAAATATGAATTTCGTCAACCGTTCTTAGCAGAAACATCAATATTTAGTTATTTGTTCTTTCTGATTTTTTTATTTCCAACGTGTCAGAAATATTACCACTTTGTGATATGTTTAATTTTGAAACAAAAGGTTACGCTCCATACATAGTTGTATCAGCAATCCTTCTAATCACCATGGTTCCTATTCATTAAATATTTAAAATTATCAGGATAATAATTGCTAGGCTCTTATTTTTCATCCATCAGTATTCTGTAACACTATAGAAGGTTTCAGTGAATCGGCAATCTTTTAATAGCTATAATGGTCATAATATCAGTATTGAAAGCATGTATAAGCCTGCTGATTTACAAATATAAAACTCCAGACAATTTTTTTTTTTTAATCCAAGCACCGAATTCAACGGCTCAAATATTACTAGTGAATTCGTACCGGCATTGATTGTTTTTGTATTTTATTTTTTATTTACTTTATGAAGGCACAATAGTTCATGGTTCGTTGCCTACTATCATATTTGGAATACATTTATTTCTATGTGACATTAAAGAAAGTCAATTTGATTTCACTTTTATTGCTCTGGGCAAATTTATGACTTGTGTTGTTTATTGTTTATGTCAATATTATACTAGAGCAAAAGATAAAGAAATCTGACGATGGGAGATCCAGTCTACTCAGTTTAAGAAATATATAGAGCTGCATTTTAGAAAAACAAATTGAAGCAAAAAATTAGTGTAAGATTTATGCTAAATTTAATCATCAATTATTTTATTTTATAGTCGCTACTGCTACCATCGGAATCAACGTCACCGTTACCTCGTCACGAAAAGAATATAGCAATTATAAAAGTTGTAGATTACTTTTGTATAAATAATTATTTTATATACACGTAAAAATGGATTATAAGTCACGATTATATTTATTATCATTCTACATATATTATCGGTTTTTTTTATCATCTCTACTTTACTATGTATTAATAGATAAAGATTTTATTAACGGGTATTTAAACGGGCATATATTTACCATTACCTGATATTAATATAAGCGGCTATGGAAATATGAAACAGCATGCAAATAACTACATACAGTACAGTAGAGAACAGCAAAAGCTATCTATTATTGCTAAAGTCAAGGAATATTTCGTTTCTGATTTCTACTCTCTAGTTAAGAGTTTGATGAATTATTAAAATATTTTTGTAATTTAAAAAACATCTACACCAGACATTGGCAAAATATGTTTGTTTCTTTTCTCTCTGCGAGCTTAACTTTATAAGCCTTTACCTAGCACAGATTTTCTTTCATATTTGAACAATATCTATAAAATATTTTATCATGACAATTTTCTTTATATTTGAATATTTATTGTAAATCTTGTTTTAGTAGGCAAAATAAAGCCACATTCACATTATGGGACAAATGCAAGAGAATAAATAGTAGGGACGAGCA